GACCGCGTCTCACTATTTTCCCTGGGCTAGCCTTGGGCTCACTACTATCCTGCCTTGGGGGTTACAGGCCCGTACCACACATGTGGGTTCTAGAGTGGGCTGGGAGTTGAACCTGGATCTCCCATGTGGTCCCAAACCGCCCGGCATCTCACCGCAGGGCCCATGACCATGCCTAAGCCTTTCTAAAAGCTATTTTTCAAAAGGTTTTGTTTTGTTTTGTTTTTAATTGAGCTTTTGGACTTCTTTACATATTCTGGATATGAGACTTCTGTCTGATGTTTTTTGCAAATATTTTTCTCTTTCAAAGGCTTGTCTTTTCATTTCCTTAACAGTGTCTTTCAAAAAGAAGTTTTCAATTTGATGTAGTCTAACAATTTTTTCTCCAACGAATCACACTTTTTAAAAAATGCTGCCTATTCTGCATACAGAAAATTTAATCCTATATTTTTCTTCTGGAAGTTTTATAATTTATAGAAGTTTTAGGGGCCAGCAGGTGGTGTAGAGAGACCAGACAGAGCAGCTCCACCCGCTTCCCACATATCTTTCCTATCCAATTCTTCATCTGCATTCTTTGTAAAATCCTTCATAACAGGTAAACTTAAGTTTGTTTTTTTATATGTTTCCTTAAGTTCTGTGAACTGCACTAGCAAGTTAATTGAACCCACTGGAATCATAGAAACCCGAGTTTATAGTTGGTAGGTCAGATGCACAGGTACAATAACTTAGGGCTTGCGAATAGAACCGGGAGTGTGTTTTGAGGGGATACTAGGGATTAAACCCTAAACTTCTTGGATCTGATGACATTTCTAGGTAGACAGCTTTAGAACAGAGCTGATATCCACTAAAGGAGTCTGTGCGATGGGACCAGCAGATGGCGTGATGGCCATGTTGCTGGACTCCCACATAGTCAACTGCGGTTCAAATCCTGGACCCAGTGGGTTAAAACTCATGCCAGCGTGCGTGTGCGTGCGTGGTCAAGATCTTAAAAGCAAAATGGAGGAGGAGGGACTGTGGCATGGCCATACTCCATAGGGGTTGATTTCTCACTTTCTGTCTCTCTCTTTCCAGCAAGTGCATGCGCCCTACAACAAAAAAACCTCTCTTTAAAAAAAGAATTATTTGTAAGGCTGGCAGGTGGCATGGTGGTTAAGAATGCTGGACTCCCACATGGCCAACTGCAGTTTGAGTCCTGGACCTGGTGGTTTGCTTTCTCACTTTCCCCCTCTCTCTTGTTCTCTCACTCTGTCCCTCTCTGCTCAAATTTAGATAAATAAACAAATAGCTAAATAAAGTTAAAATAATTCTTAAAAAAAAATAATTGTTTGCATGGAGGGGAGAAATCTCACACATTTGGGGATCACAGAACACATCTGTATTGTAAGCATATATTAGGGGAAACTGAGACTACCAAGAAACTGAGGTTTTACAAAACTTTAAAAAAATTATTTAATTTGGGGGCTGGCAAGTAGCATGGTGGATGTGGATAGAGGCACTGGACTCCCACATGGCCGACCACGGCTCGAGTCCTGGACCTGGCAGCTTGCTTTCTCACTTTCCCTTTCTCACTTGTCTCTGGTCAAATTAAAAAATAACAACAACAACAAATGGAATTAAATAATTATTTAAAAATTATTTTACTTATTATTGTTACTATTACTTTAAATGTGCTACAGGGCATACATGCTCATCAGAGAGAGTGAAAGAGAGAGCGTGTGCGTGCGAGAAAGAGAAAGCAAGCCACCGGGTCTGGGACTAAAGTTGCATACGGCCATGTGGGAGTGCAGCGCCTTAACCACCACGCCACCTGGTGGCTCCGAGACAGTGAGTCTCTGCTTTTTCTCTCTGACCTTCCATCTGGAGACCCTCTGAACCATGTATTAGCTCTAGCAGTATTTCGTGTAGCTCCTCTGGGATTTCCTGTGTGCTCATGTCACCTGTAAGAGACATGGTCTAACTTCCTCCTCTCTGCTTTGCCTGGTCCTTTCTTGTCTTCTGACACTAGTCTAAGTGCAAGTGAGACGCTGCACGGGGCGGCAGGAGCAGGCACCTGCTTACTGAGGGGACTGGAGGGTCGGGCGCCTGAGATCCTGTTCCCAGTGCCTCCTGATTCAGTGGCGGCGTCAAGATATTCGGTGCAACATGCCTACTGCCCAGAAGAAAGAGAGCCCCTGGGATGGCGTTGGGAGCTCATGGAAACGAGGCCACAGTGGACCCAGCGGGGCCCAGCGAAGCTGTTCTGGCTGTGCAGGAAAGTAGCCTGCAGCAGCTCAGGGCCCACCGAGACCCACAGAGGGCCTGCTGAGCTGAGAAGTCCTCGGGGCTGGGCCGGCTCCATAGGCCGCACATGCCTACAGCTGGGTCATCCTTACAAATACCTAATGGTGGTAAGAACAAGTCCTTAAGCAGTTCATGAAAAATGACTATTATAAAAATCTATGCATGTCTGGGACCAGCAGTTAGCGTAATGGCTATGTCGCTGGACTCCCACGTAGTCAACCGTGGTTCAAGTCCCGCACCCAATGGCTTAAACTCAGGCCGGGTGTATGTGCGTGCATGCCCAAGACCCCGAGAGGAGAATGGAGGAGAAGGGATTGTGGCGTGGCCATCCGCCCTGGGGGGTGATTTCTCGCTTTCTGTCTGTCTCTCTCTTTCTGGTGAGCGCACGCGCCCTATAGCAAAAATCTCTCCAAAAAAAAAGTTTGGGGGCTGTCGTGTGGTGTGGTGGTTAGGGACGCAGATTCCCACATGCAGACCATGGTTCAAGTCCTGGACTTGGCATCTGGCTTTCTCACTTGCCCTCTCTCTCTCTGTCTGGTCAAATTAAAAAAATAATAACAACAACTGGAAATAAATAAATAAAATTTTTTTAAAAAAAAAAAGGTTTGTATCAAAATCAACTTGTCCTTTAATTTCATTTTTGCATGCACTCCTTAAGAGTTCCCTTATATGGACAGAGCATCGAGCAGCAATGACTCCTACAAATGGAGCCAGGCGTCCAGGTGGCGTGGCTTGTGAAGGACAGGGTTTGACTCTTGTACAAGGCTACTGAGCTGAGGTCTGAGGTGACGTGGCTGGGGGCATGCATGGAAAATTTGGTAAGCATCCATCCGGCGCTTCTCACAGCCCGGTAGGGAGTCACCGGTTACAAGCAGAAAGCTGTCGACCGTGTGCCCGAGGGAGGCCCGAGCAGCACCCCCGCTCATCTCGAGCGCCGTGTCCTCGGGCAGCTCGGTCACGCGCAGCCTTTGCACTCACTCAGTACATGTGGCGGAAACGTCCAGCCTCACACACGGCTCTGGACGCGTGCTCTGTCCCTCCTGGTGTGAGGGACGCTGACCACACTGCACCTGGAGACAGTGCCCGCGGTCGTGGCCCTCATTCTCTGCCTGGCCTCTCACCCATGGGGCCCCCTGGGATGGAAAGAGTCACCATGCCCACGCACGCTGCTCTTCTCCAGGGTCCACGAGCCCAGGGGCTTCCGTGAAGTCCTGCCACTCAGTTCTTACGTGGTAGCTCCCGAGAAACAAACTCGTGGCTTTGATTTTTATATCCCTCGGTTCCCGGATGCACACAGGGTTACCTGCTGCACTGCTGTGCCGGGCTGACGAAGAGGCACTTCGTGTGGGGCTGACAGCACTCGTGATACCTGAGAAGAGGACCTATGGCTGCTGTGTGTGCGAGTGAGGGAGAGGGCCGTCCCGAGCCCACGTTCCCAGATGGTGTCCGCCAGGCCCAGCCGCCTGACTGCAGTGCTGGGAGCCGCACGGCTGACTGCACACTCGGATCCCAGGCTGACCTGAGAATACGTGGGGGCGTGTGTAGACGCCCAAGTCCTGACAGGCTGGAGGGCCAGGGGAAGGGCGTCACGGCATAGCAGGACTCTGCTGAGGGGAATCCTTGCTCTATCATGAATAAAATTAACGTGTTTCTTTTTTTTTTTTAAAGCACCATCGCGGCCAGTAGGTGGCATGGTGGTTAGGGCACTGGAGTCCTAGGTGGCTGGACATGGTGGCTTGTTTCTCACTTTTTCTCTCTCTCTGGTAAGCGTACATGCACTGTAGCAAGTTAAAAATAATAATAAATAGGGACCCGCAGTTAGAGTAATGGCTATGTCACTGGACTCCCACGTAGTTGACCGCGGTTCGAGTCCCGGACCCGGTAGCTTAAACTCACGCCGGGTGCATGTGCATGTGTGCCCAAGATCCTGACAGGAGAATGGAGAAGGGATTGCGGCGTGGCCATCCCCCCCTGGGGGTGATTTCTCGCTTTCTGTCTCTCTGTCTGTCTCTGTCTGGTGAGCACACGAGACCTATAGCGAAAACCTTTCCAAAAAAAAAAAAAAAACAAAAACTTAGGGCAACATTTAATCTTTTTCTTGAAGATTCTAACAGTAAAAGTTGCTGATGGTACCCAATGACAATAGCTACCAGCCTCTGTGCTGCCACCCTGGGGACAGGAAAGCGGAAATGTGGGCAGAAACGGAAGCCTAGCTCCGAGCTTGGAAAGAGAGGAGAGAGGCAGGTGTGAAGCTGTTCGTCCCAGCTGCCCTGTGGACAGACGACCACACCCGGTTCATCTTCATGCTCCCTGTTACCCGAGAACGGGAACGAGGGACGTGAGGGGTGGAGGCGAGGGGAAGTGACCTGCAGGACATGCACACACACGCCTCCTGGGATAGCTGGTGACCAGGCCCCCAGCACAGCGTGGGGCAGCCCTGCCATCATTGCTGTGCCTCGGCCATTGCTGCTGTGCCTCGGCCACGAGTGCTCAGGAGTCCCCACCACCAGGGAGCAACGACTCACCCAGCCCCTGGCCCTGGGCCCCGGCGGGACTCTCATCTGCTCAGGAGTCCCCACCACCAGGGAGCAATGACTCGCCAGCCCCTGGCCCTGAACCCCGTCGGGACTCTCACCTGGGTCCAGACACATGAACTTGCAGCACTCCTTGGGGTCCTTGCGGTATTGCTGGCAGCCCTGGGGCCGCTCGCAGAGGGCGGCCACGCACATTTCCGGCTCCCCTCCGTGGCAGGTGCAGCTCAGGCAGGGGTCGTCCCCCTTGGGGGTGAAGTAGAACCCCTCATCCACCACGTTGTCCTTGATGTCCACGCACGTCTGACCTGCAGTGGGCACACGGATGTCACCAGCAGAGGGAGACTGCCTTCCCCGCCTGGGCCTGGGGGTCCAAGGGCAGACGAGGGGCTGGTGTGATCACGTCCAAGAGTCCTCTGAATGCGGGGTGCAGGGGTGGTCGTCTAAAGCGGTCACGACATCACACAATTACAGCAAAGCACACCCGGCCAGGGCCCATGTGTCCCATGGAGCCCAGAGAAGCAGGACAGAAAATGATGTCAGACTCCAGGTGAAGGTCCCTGTATGAGCGTCTTCTTCTTCTTCAGGTTTTGTAGGGCAAGTGCACTCACCAGAGAAGAGTGAGAGTGAGAGTGAGAAATGGCCCCCGGGAGGATGGCTGCACTGCAGTCTCTTCTCCTCCAGTCTCCTCCTGGGATTTTGGGCACGCATACACATGCGCCTGGTGTAACTTTTAAGCTGCCAGGTCCAGGAGCTGAACCATGCTTGGCCAGGTGGGAGTCCAGTGCCTTAACCACCATGCCACCTGCTGGCCCTGAGACATGTTAGTTTGTAAGTTGCCTAAGGGGTTTACTTCTGAGAGTCCCTCAGTTCTAAGACACGGATGTCATGGATATTAACAGCTATAAAATCAGAATGTGTCTTCGATGAGTTTCCCAAGAAGCTGCTGCTTCCTGTGAAGAAGATGGTCCACTGGACCTGAGACGCGCAGGAAACCCTGTGCAGAGCGGACCTGGGGCTAAAGGAGACGACGCCGCCAGAGAGGAGGAGGGAGTTAAAAGCTCAGAGCCTTCAGCCGACAGGCAGACACGACAGACACGGGGAGAGGGTGAGGAAGAGGCGGGCCCTCACAGGGACACATGCTCAGGGAGGGGTGAGAGGCAGAGGGGTGAGAAGAGAGCCTGTTCCCGTCTCCAAATGAGGTGGAAAATGTTTAGAAAAACAAAAAGACGCTTCAGAAACTGCACAACCGTGGGGCTGTGCCTCACTTAAATTGGGGTCAAATCTCTTTCATCCACGTGGTCAGGAACGCCTAGGGAAGGAACTCACATAAAATGAGCCCCTGCTAAAACCAGGGGGAAAAAGAATAAGGAAAAACGAACAGAGCCCTCAGAGAAACGGTGAAATCACAACATAAGTGAAGTGAGAATAGCAAAACAGGGACCAGCAGTTGGCGTAATGGCTATGTCGCTGGACTCCCATGTAGTCGGCCACGGTTCGAGTCCCGGAACTGGTGGCTTAAACTCACACCAGGCACGTGTGCGTGCGTGCCCAAGATCCCGAGAGGAGAATGGAGGAGAAGGGATTGCAGCGTGGCCATGCCCCGGAAGGTGATTTCTCGTTTTCTGTCTCTCTGTCTCTGTCTTTCTGGCGAGCGCACACGCACTATAGCAAAAACCTCTCCAAAAAAAGAAAAAGGAAAAAAAATAGCAAAACAAAGGAGAGAGAGGAAGGTGTAGAAAAAATAGTTCAAGAAATAACACTTGAGAACTACCCAAGGTCATTGCAAAATTAAAATCTACATATCCAAGAAGTTCAACAAACTCCAAGGAGGATAAATGCCAACTGTCACATGCTAAGAACACTAAAAGGTAGGCAGGAAGGTGGCGTGGTGGTTAAGAGGCTAGACTCCCACATGGTCAATCACTGTTTGAGTCCCAGACCTGGCAGTTTTGCTTTCTCACCCAGGCCCCACCCATCTCTGGTCAAATTAAAAAATAATACCAATAAATAAAATAACAAATAATTCTTTTACAAAAATGCTGAAAGCCAAAGACCAGGTAAAAGTGTCAAAGTATCAAACAAAAAAATGACTTATTACTTATAAGGGAATCCCGTAAGATTAACAACTGACTTCTAAACAGGAATAAGAAAGGCTGGAGGCAGTGGGGCAATATATTCCCAACACTCAAAACCAACCAAGGATCTGTACCCAGCAAAGCAATCTTTCAAAAAAAAATAAAGGCCAAATAAAGACTTTCACAGAGGGGACCAGCAGGTGGCGTGGTGGTTAAGGCGCTGGACACTCCCACATGGCCGACCACAGTTAGAGTCCTGGACCTGGTGGCTTGTTTTCTCACTTTCCCTCTCTCTCTCTGCCTCTCTCTGGTCAAATTAAAATAAATAGATAAATAAATTAATTAAATCAATAATTCTTTTCGGAAAAAAAAAAAAAAAGACTTTTCCAAGATGAAGACTGAGAGCACTCATAAGAAATACCAAAGAAAGTTCTTCAAGCTAAAAGCCAGCGACTCCTGGCGAGCAGTTTGGGTCTACGTGAAGAAACGAAGCGCACCAGTAAAGGTGGTTATATAATTATAAATAACAGTACAAATACATACTGCTCTTTATCCTGGTGACTACTTTCAAAACAACTGTATACAGTAACATGTATAGAACGGAATGCTGGGTCTATCATGCACAGAAACACAGGGCACAGACAATGTGTTTGCCAGTAACAGAACAGAAGAGAGCTATGGGAGCAGGGTTATATATATTTTTTTTTTCTTTCTTTTTTTTTTTTTAGACTACTGGTTATTGTTAACACCCGTCACGCCATGAATTCACAGGGAACAGGTTCCAGCAGCTCAGGCTCCTTTCCACTGGTTCTCACACAGCGGCTTCTCTTGGGGGGGCAGGCGGCGCCGCCTCTCTGGGTGGAGCAGCCGGCGCTGCCGTGGAACCCAGGCACCTCCCTCTTTGGCTTCCTTCTTTTTCTGGTCATTTTCCTTCCCACGTTTTAGGAAGCCATCTCTGCTCTCAGAATGCTCAGTATGCTCAATACGCACATTGATTCTCTTGGCAAGAGTCGCCCTTACAACAATGCCAACAGCATGCTGGGTAACACTAGGCTCTTCCGGTTTTGCCATGGTCACATGTGTGGGGCATTCCTTTTTGAACAGTGCCCACTCCCTCGATGTCTACATCACCTCTCTTGTAGATGCCTGCATATGTTGCCAAAGGAAGCCCTCCATGTTTTCTAAAAGGCCTAGAGACAGAGCGGGGGCCTCTCCTCTTTCCCCCTGTGTTTGCCGTTTTGGTGAATTACTGGAAGATGGCGGTTCCGGCCAAAAGCACAGAGCTATACTGAGCTAGGAACATGACTTAAATCTTACACTTTATAAAAAGAAATTTAGTTTGAAATAAGTCACAGATTTACATGTAAATATAAAATTATAAAACTTTTAGGGAAAAAAAAACAAAATAGGAGGAGTCCAGCAGGTGGTGTAGTGGCTAAGGCACTGGACTCCCACATGGCCAACTGTAGTTCAAGTCCCAGACCTGGTGGCTTGCTTTCTCACTTTCTCTCTCTGTTCCTCTCTGGTCACATTTAAATAAATAAATAACATAATTCTTTTAAAAAAAAAAAAGAGAGGGACAAATGACATGAACAGACATTTCACCAGAGGGTATACAGACGGCAAATAAACACATGAGAAGGTGTTTGATGTCGTTAACTTCAGAGAAATGCAAGCGTAAACCACAAGGAGAGTACCACACAGCCACCAGGATAGATAAAATGAAAACGAGTACTAGTGAGGGCGTAGAGAAACCTATGACTCACACACTGCCGATGCGAAGAGCAAAACGGTATGGCTACCCTAGAAAAGATTTTGCTTGTTTCTTAAAAAATTGACCATACGGGCTGGCAAGTGGCATGGTGGTTAAGGGTGCTGGACTCCCACATGGCCAACTGTGGTTCAAGTCCTGGGCCTGGCAGCTTGCTTTCTCACTTTCTCTCTCTCACTCTGTCCCTTTCTGGTCAAATTAAAATAAATAAATAAATAAAGTTAAATAAAATAATTCTTTATTTTTTTACGAGGTTCTTTGCTATAGGGCGTGTGCGCTCACCAGACAGACAGAGAGAGACAGCGAGACAGAAAGCGAGAAATCATCTTTATTTTTTTACGAGGTTCTTTGCTATAGGGCGTGTGCGCTCTCCAGAAAGAGAGAGACAGAGAGATAGAAAGTGAGAAATCATCCCCAGGGGGGATGGCCACGCCGCAATCCCTTCTCCTCCATTCTCCTCTCGGGATCTTGGGCACGCACGCACATGCGCCCGGTGTGAGTTTAAGCCACTGGGTCCGGGACTCGAACCACAGTTCACTACATGGAAGTCCAATGACGTAGCCATTACGCCATCTGCTGGTCCATATTATAATTAATTCTTAATTTGACCAGAGAGAAACAGAAAGAGAGAAAGAAAGCAAGAAAACAAGCTGCCAGGTCTGGGACTCAGACCACGTGGGAGTCCAGAGCCCTAACCACCACACCAGCTGCCTGTCCCACTCCCACCACTTCTACTCGACACTGTACTGGAGTCTTGAGGAAAAGTTAACATCGGGGAGAAAAAGGCAAAGAAGTATAAATCAAAGATCTGAACGAGAAGCAAATGTGTAACCAGAACATCTAGGGGAAGCCACAAACTACAGAACTTGAAGAGTCAAGAATAACATAAAGGGACCAGCAGTTAGTGTAATAGCTATGTCGCTGGACTCCCATGTAGTCGACCGCGGTTCGAGTCCCGGACCCAGTGGCTTAAAACTCACGCCGGGCGCGTGTGCGTGCGTGCCCAAGATCCTGAGAGGAGAACGGAGGAGAAGGGATTGCGGCGTGACCATCCCCCCTGGGGGGTGATTTCTTGCTTTCTGTCTCTGTCTTTCTGTCTGTCTGGCGAGTGCATGCACCCTATAGCAAAAACCTCTCTAAATAAAAAAGAAATAATAACATAAAGGAAGCCACAGCACCGGCCACGAGACGC